ATACCCAACAAAACACACTGATACCCAACAAAACACACTGATTCCCAACAAACCACACTGATACTCAACAAACCACACTGATGCTCAACAAGCAACACTGATACACAACAAAGCACAATGACACACAACAGACAACACTGATTCTCAACACACCACAATGATACCCAACAAAACACACTGATACTCAACAAAACACACTGATACNAAAACACACTGATACTCAACAAAACACACTGATACACAACAAAACACACTGATACTCAACAAACCACAATGATACCCAACAAAACACACTGATACCCAACAAAACACATTGATACTCAACATACAACATTGATACTCAACAAACCACACTGATGCTCAACAAGCAACACTGATACACAAAAAAGCACAATGACGCACAACAGACAACACTGATATTCAACAAACCACACTGATACCCAACAAAACACACTGATACTCAACAAAACACACTGATACTCAACATACAACACTGATACTCAACAAACCACAATGATACTCAAAAAGCAACACTGATACCCAACAAAACACACTGACACCCAACAAAACACACTGATACCCAACAAAACACACTGATACTCAACAAAACACACTGACACTCAACATACAACACTGATACTCAACAAAACACACTGATACTCAACATACAACACTGATTCTCAACAAACCACACTGATACTCAACATACAACACTGATTCTCAACAAACCACACTGATACTCAACATACAACACTGATTCTCAACAAACCACACTGATGCCCAACAAACAACACTGATACCCAACAAAACACACTGACACCCAACATACAACACTGATACTCAACAAACCACAATGATACTCAACAAACCACAATGATACTCAACAAACCACACTGATATTCAACAAACCACACTGATACTCAACAAACCACACTGATACACAACAAACCACACTGATACTCAACAAACAACACTGATGCCCAACAAACCACAGTGACACACAACAAACACTGACACTCAACAAACCTGATGATTAAAGTGACAATTATTAAGCAAACAGTCTTTTATAATGACAGATTAGTGCAGAACACATTAAAATTTAACAGAGTGCGTTTGTTCCTTGACAAAATGCAGGACGTCCCCTGCCTTTCTAAAGTTTTAAACAAAGACATCATTTGATAATACATTTGTCTATAACTGTTTTTGAACTTTTGAAGTCAACCAAGTTGTCCACCATAGATCTTTGACCTTTGGAAACAAAAAATGGCTACAACTGACCTACAGGTGATGTATCAAGTGATCAGGTGTTAGCATTATGGCTAATGAAAAATATTATCTYTCAGGGGTTAGTGTTTGGGTGAAGTTCATGTTGTCATTGATACTCAGTGAATTATAAACATGTAGGCCTAGCAGGTGTGGATCGACTGCACAGCTTGTGTTAACACAAAGAGAAACGTTGCCATTCTACGAAAGAGGATTAGGACCACTGGAAAAATAATTATTCTAACTTTAACCTCAGAATTGGGAAAAAGTCAGAATTCTGAGATTAAAGTCAGACTTATTATTTTTAGAGGCCCTAATCCTCTTTCGTACCTTTCAGTGAGGCTTGTTGTTAGGAATATTATGAAGCTTGTGTGTTACCATGAAGATGGTTGTATGCTACCCACCAGGTGAGCCTGGGCTCTGGGGTTCCCTTCACCTCCACCTCTAAGGTCACAGGAGAACCCTCCATGACTATGGATTGAGACAAGGGTCTTGTGAAGCAGGGAGGACCAGGTCTAGATACCGTCCCCAGTAGCAGAGAGTCTGCCTGGGCCTGAGGAGGAAGAGGAGGAGGAAGAGGAAGAGAAGGCCCTTGGATCTGAGGTGTAAGCCTGATCTCCTCACAGATGAACATGGGCTGACAAATGTCAGGGTCTCTGGGTGGAGTTAATAGATGTGTTGAGGAGGAAGTGGGTGGGACATGCAGGTTAGCAGGACGAGACAAAGCCTGAGCGTGAGGAGGATCAGCAAACTGGGCTGAGCTGCTGAAACTGATGCTAGGACTAGGTGCACTCTGCTGGACAGGGGACCAGGTCAGGGATTCATGGAGGGTCCGGACCGTGGGGAGGCTCCTCCTCTTGTTGTTGACACTGTTTGGATGAGGAGTACAATTGACGTGGTCCACTGTTTGATCTCTGGTATCCTGGTCTGAATGGAACCTCTCTGAGGGGGAGGACTGGCAAAGGACAGTCTGCTGGGTCACACTAGTGGTCGTGGTAAGAGTCCTGTCTCTGGACTTGGTTTGGAAGGGAGATACAACCTGAAATGGACTGTCCCTGGAGTCTGTGGAAGGCTGTGGAAGATTCATATCTGAAGGGTTTGCTGAACTTTTGAGGGTGATGTCAGGAGGTAGAAGAGGATCTATTGAGTCTTTGTGGGGGACAGGATCTGGAGGACTGGAACTCTGAAAGTGTCCTTCAGCCTTGGCAGCTGGATCAAATGGAGGGTTGTTTCCTCTCAGAGATGACATACAGTCCTTAGGCTCAACACAATGATGGTTTACAAACAAAGACTTGAGATCAGAGTTCAGCTGGGTATCCAAACTGGTCCTGGTCTTGGTACAATGGTCCCGCTGGGCTGTGGTTTCTCTTGGACTTGTCACAGACTGTGTGTCCTGTTGGGGTGTCCTCTCTGAGCCGTGAAGAACTTCTGTTGGACTGTTGTTTTTATGAGAACTAGAGTGGGGTCTGTGGAGACCAGTTTCTCCTGCAGAGGTGTTCTGACTGTGGGTTTCTGAGTCAGGACCATCAAAAGGCTGGGCATGAGGGTTCTGACTCAGATCCTGAAAAGTTGTTGGGGAAGAGCTCCTCTGGGGAACACAATGGAATGGGTTAGACCCAGGTGGGGGTCTTGGTTCAGGGCTGTTCAGGGTAAGGTCAGCACTCGGGGTTAAGGTATTTGAGTTGGACCTCCTGGTCTTCAGGATGGTGCACAGAGAGCTGGTGAAGAGCCTTGGAGCAGGAACTGTTGATGGGCACTGATGGAAGGACCTGGACTCTGGTCTGAACCTGTGACATGTTAAAAACAAAATCTTACATCTGGATAGTGGATTAATGAGACACAAGTGGACTAYAGATAAACCGCCTGGTCTCATGCAGACCTTGTGCTACTATGAAGACTGACTGAAGGACTTGGATAATTCCCTGTCTGCTGTGGGACATCAGGACTAGGACCAGGACCAGGTAGTTCTGCCTGGGGGTGGGTCTGGTGGCTGACGTGGATGCTGTGAGAACTGAAACAGAAGCCCTCCTCGATGTCGGACTGGAACATGGTGGACTCGGGCGTCTCTGCCAGCGGGGGCAGGGAGATGTCATCAGGTGACACGCAGTCRTATTCATCGTTGGACAGGAAGTCCTCCATCATGGCCTCATGTTCTTGGAGCTCTGCGTGTCCTGAAGCATCCTGGGTAAATGGAACGAAACGATTCCAGTTTGGCTCAGAACTTTAGTGTGGACATCATCAGCCGGACTCACCTGCAGAGGACTCAGGACCGAGCCACAGAAGAAGGAGCTCGCCCGTCCTCCTCCCTGTACCTCTTTCTGAAATTCCTTCTGGATCTCAGAAAAAGATGGACCAATGACAGACAGCGAGGGCGTGGCCTGTGGCTCTGCGGTGACGAGCTGTGATTGGCTGTGGACGGTTTGAATCAAGCGGTTGGCCTCCAGAGGGGAGGAGGAGATGCTGAGGGTGGAGCAGTAGGAGGAGGTGAAGCTTCCACAGCGTGACTGTCTAAAAGAAACCAAAGAGAGACGTCAGCTTTTGTTTTTGAATCCTCGTGAAAGAAGTCAAATCCTTCCTGATCACTGTGTGCTGAACACAGACGAACACCTCAAGCTGCTGGTACCAACCTGCTCTCTGACCCGCCCCTCTGTCTGTCTGCCTCCTGACTCCTCCTCCTGGCTGCAGCCTCTTTCCCATCATGCTTTGCGGTCAGTTCAGGGGTGTGGCCTGTCTCTTTCAGCTCATGCTGGGATTAAAGAACTCATGTAAACATCAGGGATTTTAGATAAATCAGACATTCTTAACCCAGGGGCCGAGGCCCAATTATGGGCCGCTAGCGCCACCKTGAGGGCCTCAAAGGAACAACAGTTTGAAACTTTGGGCCGCAGAGGGCCGCGGGACAGGAATGATTTTGAATAAGGTGTAATACACTTTGTCACCACTAGTAGCAGTAGTGCACCACTCAGATGTTTAACAACTTTTTAATATGTAGAAGAAGAACCTTAGAAACCTGCTGAGAATGGAAACTTATTTTAAATKAAAAGTAGAARCAAAAATRAARGTAACWMATCAAAAAACACCAAAGTTTGTCACTAATATGAAGAGCAGCTTCTGTTTTTACCATGYAATATTTTAAAAGTTCAAAACATTATCAAATATTGTTGTAGATACAACTATATTTTAATTTGCACTTTATCAAATTAATTTTTGTAGTTTATTTTTAAACATTTGAATGTATTTTAAAGAAACTTTAAACTTGTTAAAAAGCTGTTGTTACTGTTATTGTTTGTCACTAAWATGAAGAGCAGCTTCTGGTTCTACCAAGCAAAAGTTTAAAAAGGCTATATTTTCTTTGCATTTTATCAAATTAATTTTAACTTTTTTTATTTGAAACATTTACATTGAACATTTTAAATGTATTTGTTGTATAACCACAGTTTTATTTGTTATTATTTCAAATAATTGTTATGGGCAGGTTACAATGTAAAAATGTTTGTTATAATCATGTCTTGTGATTATTTGACAGGAGTTTTACTTTTAAACTGTAAGTGTATTAATATAATTATAATGCAAATACATTATAAATTAAATCATTTTGATCTGTATGGTAATGTGTGACTGGGCCTCGTGCCTCTTTGTGTTCAACAAACTGGGCCCTGAGGTCAGAAAGGTTAGAAACCYCTGAGACAAACAGCCTGGTTTTGTTCTGGTACCATGTCTGCAGCTTCCTGTGAGCTGCGGTTATCCATCCTTTCTTTCTCTTTCATCTTCCTGTTTTCTTTCTTCTCTTCCTCTCTGCTTCGCTCCCTCTCTTCTCCCTCTTTTACTTCSTCCTCTTCATCACGTTGCTGCTGTTTCAGACTCTCCAGCTGAAAACAGGCCAGATGTTAAACTCAGAGCAGACCCGCTGATGGGATCAGGTCTGGTTCTGAGACCATGAAGCTGAGCTTGTTCACCTTCAGCTTGGCCTCCAGCTCCATCAGGCCGTGGCTCAGCTCTCTGATGGACTCCACCATGTCTGAGTGTTTACTGACCGTCTTCTGGACATAGCGCCGCCCCTCCTCCCCACCTGAAACACACCTGTCCAAGCTTTAGCTTCAACCATTAACCTGCTGATGGTTCAAGGATTTTTTATATTTGACTTTAAAAAACAAAATGTGTTGCTTGTGTGCTTCCATCTTATTTCAGAATAAAACTTCTTGATTCGTTGTGTTTKCTGCCTGTCCTTTCAGAATAAAAGCCTCCTGTTTCTGGTGTTTCTACGCACCGTGCAGCCTGACAGCCAGCTCTGTGATCTGACCGATCCTCTCSTCCTGCTGAGGAACCGTGGGCCAAACGAACTTCTCAAACTGACGGGACAGAACCGAGACGGCCTCTGTGCTGCGACACTCCAGAGAAAACTTCCCGACCCGAGCGATGGTGGCGCTGGCCTCGTCACACCAGAACTGATACTGTGGAGGCAGAGCAACAGGTGGGTCAGATAACGGTCTGCTCGACGGTTCTGAGTGATCCAGATCAGCTGTGGTACCTCCTCCATGGCCCGCTGCAGTCTGCAGGTCAGGTCCAGGGTTTTCATGTGTTCACAGAGGTTCTGKTCAAACTCTCCCATCTGTCTCTGCAGCTCATTGGAGGCGTCCTCCACCTGCCGGGCCGTGGCCCCGCCCTTCACCTCTGAGCCCAGACGGGTCGTCACACCATGAACACGCTTCCTGAGAGCCTACAGAACCAACAGAACCAACAGAACCACATCACAAACCCCCTGACCAAACCCTAAATCCACAGTTCCAGATCAAACTCTTTATTTTTATTTTATTTTTTGTTTCTGACACGTCCTGCTCTTTAAAAGGTTCTGACATCATTAAACGTGTGTTTCTGTAGGTCCATATAAATAAACATTTCTTTATTTGTCTTTGTTTTTATTTGTTGTTTCCAGAGGTTTATAGTAACTAAGTACATTTACTTTGTTACAGTACTTAAGTAGTTTATTTGAGGACTTGTAATTTTACCAAGTATTTTTTAAACAGCTACTTTTCCTTTTATCCTCAAAAAATTACTTAAGTACTATAACAAAGTAAATGTACTTAGTTACTATAAACCTCTGGTTATTTGTGATGAAGTCAAAGTTTTCTGCCTCTGGATGATAAATTGTTMTGTGAAGAGCAGCTTTCTGAACACTGACCAGCAGGGGGCGTCACAAACTAACTTCTAATAAGATTTTTTTTTTTTTTTTGAGATTAATTTTCTTTAGAATCTCAGAACCAACATTCTGCAGTTTGGTAGAGACAGGTATTAGATTTTGTATGTTTTGTGTGTTTATGAACGTCTCAACCTGTGTTTTCGTCACCTTTACCTGTCGAAGGTTTTCACTTCCTGTCCAGGTTTCTGATAAAGCTCTTCCAGTTGAAGGAGACTTCATGGCCATCAGAACTGAAACTAAAGTTCTGAATCAGCAGATCCAGATCATAAAGCTGCTGCCACAGACCGACCAGAAGCTTTTATTAATGTATTTATTATAAAATGTCAAACTTGTTCAAACCATCCTGGTGTTTATGAAAACTGAAGTTTTTTATTTATTAAGTCCAGGACCCGAACCTCATATGGTAAGGACCTGACGTGGTCCATGGTGGGTCTTGGTTATGTATCTGCTGCTCAGCAGCTCAGAGGGTTCTGGACTTGGGGTCCACCTTGTGGTACCTGCAGCTTCTCCTGGAAGACCTCCACCTGCTGCAGCTGGTTCCGGACGGCCTTCGGGTTCCTGCTCCTGTCGTTCTTCTTCAGGAAGTTGAACTTTGTGTTGCTGAAACGTTTCTTCAGCTCCTTAAATGAGTCACGAAGCTGAAACAGAACATCACACAAGTTCAGACCTGTCAGGTGTCCTTCAGCAGACCACTCAGAACCCGGCCCACTGAGGGTCTTCACTTGTACGGATGAAAGTGCAAAAGTACGTACGCACAGAAATATTCAGATGTACCAAAGTGTGCACACGTTTATGTGCTCCTTTATTTCATACATCCCAATGAATGTGGAACTGAGACTCCTCCCCCTGACACATGAGACTCCTCCCCTTGAAATATGAAACCCCTCCTCCTGAGTCTCCTCCCCCTGACAAACAAGACTCCTTCCCCTGACACAGGAGACTCCTCCCCATGACACACGAGACTCCTCCCCCTGACACACGAGACTCCTCCCCTGACACACGAGACTCCTCCCCCTGACACACGAGACTCCTCCCCCTGACACACGAGACTCCTCCCCCTGACACACGAGTCTCCTCCCAGATTGTCAGCTTGTGAATGAGGCTCAGGTTTAAAGCAGAAAACCTGAGCTGATGATCAGGAACAACTCAGTCATATCTCTGCTCACATTCAGGACTTTGTGRGTTCAAACTGGACTGACAGGTTGTGTAGCTGTCTGCACACTCTCACACAGTGTGTGTATATTTGCACACACAATATTGGTTCTGATCCATCCTGACGTGTGCGTGGAACCACATGGACTGGATCAGAACCATAGACTCAGAGCCTTCTTCTGGACAAAGTTTTAGTTGTTTCTTTATGAACACATGAAACTAAGAGTCACTCAGAACCAGAACCAGAACCAGAACCTGCTGAGTCCACAGGGACACAATGGTTCTGTTGTTGATGAAACACAAGCAGGTTCTGATCCACAGGTTGGACTGCAACAACAGCAGGGTCTGAAAGGTGTTCTGTTGGATCCGGGTCAGAACCGGTCCACCGGGTCATGTAGAAGAATCTTAGCTAAGGTATTTTTAGAGCAGCGAGACGTTTCGGTCTCAGAGTCGGGTGTCCCATCTGTCAGCTCAGGACAGCTGAGACACGTCTGAACAGAACCAGAACTGGACCGGTCCCTCTGAAGCAGAGGAGGAGGGGCAAACCTGCGGTGAGGAAGAGGAGAGCGTGACGAAGGACAAAAACTGATCCAGAATCCCTGCTGGTTCCAGAACCTTTTCCAGAAAGTTCTGACCCAATAAAGACAGAATCTATTCTTCAGGAATAAAAACTAAAAGAACAAATAAACAAGCAGAAATGCTGAGAGGAAGGAGCGCAGCGCCTCCTGCTGACCTCACCTCCATCTGGATGATGTCATCACTCACCTGGATGATGTCATCACTCACCTGGATGATGTCATCATGCAGCAGGTGAGTCAGCAGCTTCTCTTCCTGTTCAGCTGCTTCTTTCAGCCACGACTCACAGAGAGAGTCCAGAGAGGAGAGACGGGCCTCCAGCTGCTCGACCYGGAAACCTGCAGAACCCTGGGAGAGGAGGAACAGGAGGAACAGGAGGGAGAGGAGGAAGAGGAGGGAGAGGAGGGAGAGGAGCGAGAGGAGGAAGAGGAGGAAGAGGAGGAAGAGGAGGAAGAGGAGGGAGAGGAGGGAGAGGAGCGAGAGGAGGAAGAGGAGGAAGAGGAGGAAGAGGAGGGAGAGGAGGAAGAGGAGGGAGAGGAGGGAGAGGAGGATGAGGAGGGAGAGGAGGATGAGGATGGAGAGGAGCGAGAGGAGGAAGAGGAGGGAGGAGGAAGAGGAGGGAGAGGAGGGAGAGGAGGGAGAGGAGGATGAGGAGGGAGAGGAGGATGAGGATGGAGAGGAGCGAGAGGAGCGAGAGGAGGAAGAGGAGGGAGGAGGAAGAGGAGGGAGAGGAGGGAGAGGAGGAAGAGGAGGAAGAGGAGGGAGGAGGAAGAGGAGGAAGAGGAGGAAGAGGAGGAAGAGGAGGGAGAGGAGGGAGAGGAGGGAGAGGAGGAAGAGGAGGGAGAGGAGGGAGAGGAGCGAGAGGAGGAAGAGGAGGAAGAGGAGGAAGAGGAGGGAGAGGAGGGAGAGGAGGGAGAGGAGGAAGAGGAGGGAGGAGGAAGTGGAGGAAGAGGAGGAAGAGGAGGAAGAGGAGGGAGAGGAGCGAGAGGAGGAAGAGGAGGGAGGAGGAAGAGGAGGGAGAGGAGGGAGAGGAGGATGAGGAGGGAGAGGAGGGAGAGGAGCGAGAGGAGGAAGAGGAGGGAGGAGGAAGAGGAGGGAGAGGAGGGAGAGGAGGGAGAGGAGGATGAGGAGGGAGAGGAGCGAGAGGAGGAAGAGGAGGGAGGAGGAAGAGGAGGGAGAGGAGGGAGAGGAGGGAGAGGAGGATGAGGAGGGAGAGGAGGGAGAGGAG